GTAAAATTATCAGTTTTTAATCAAATATTCAGTCAGAAGTAAAAGAGAAACTAGGGTTGACATAAGCTGATTTTTGCTATTCTTTTCTAGTTCATTTTGGTCAAATAGAACCTAACGATTCCACATAATTATATACCCCTGGCTATCAAATAGAACCTAACGATTCCACATAATTATTTACCCCTGGCTATCAAATAGACCCTAACGATTCCACATAATTATATACCCCTGGCTATCAAATAGACCCTAACGATTCCACATAATTATATACCCCTGGCTATCAAATAGAACCTAACGATTCCACATAATTATATACCCCTGGTTATCAAATAGAACCTAACGATTCCACATAATTATATACCCCTGGCTATCAAATAGAACCTAACGATTCCACATAATTATATACCCCTGGCTATCAAATAGAACCTAACGATTCCACATAATTATATACCGCTGGCTATCAAATAGACCCTAACGATTCCACATAATTATATACCCCTGGCTATCAAAGAGACCCTAACGATTCCACATAATTATATACCCCTGGCTATCAAATAGAACCTAACGATTCCACATAATTATATACCCCTGGCTATCAAATAGACCCTAACGATTTCACATAATTATATACCCCTGGCTATCAAATAGAACCTAACAATTCCACATAATTATATACCCCTGGCTATCAAATAGACGCTAACGATTCCACATAATTATTTACCCCCTAGCTATCAAATAGACCCTAACGATTCCACATAATTATATACCCCTGGCTATCAAATAGACCCTAACGATTCCACATAATTATATACCCCTGGCTATCAAATAGACCCTAACGATTCCACATAATTATATACCCCTGGCTATCAAATGGCTATCAAATAGAACCTAACGATTCCACATAATTATATACCCCTGGCTATCAAATAGACCCTAACGATTCCACATAATTATATACCCCTGGCTATCATATAAAACCTAACGATTCCACATAATTATATACCCCTGGCTATCAAATAGAACCTAACGATTCCACATAATTATATACCCCTGGCTATCAAATAGAACCTAACGATTCCACATAATTATATACCCTGGCTATCAAATAGAACCTAACGATTCCACATAATTATATACCCCTGGCTATCAAATAGAACCTAACGATTCCACATAATTATATACCCCTGGCTATCAAATAGAACCTAACGATTCCACATAATTATAAACCCCTGGCTATCAAATAGAACCTAACGATTCCACATAATTATATACCCCTGGCTATCAAATAGACCCTAACGATTTCACATAATTATATACCCCTGGCTATCAAATAGAACCTAACGATTCCACATAATTATATACCCCTAGCTATCAAATAGACCCTAACGATTCCACATAATTATATACCCCTGGCTATCAAATAGACCCTAACGATTCCACATAAATATATACCCCTGGCTATCAAATAGAACCTAACGATTCCACATAATTATATACCCCTGGCTATCAAAAAGAACCTAACGATTCCACATAATTATATACCCCAGGCTATCAAATAGACCCTAACGATTCCACATAATTATATACCCCTTGCTATCAAATAGACCCTAACGATTCCACATGAATATATACCCCTGGCTATCAAATAGAACCTAACGATTCCACATAGTTATATACCCCTGGCTATCAAAAAGAACCTAACGATTCCACATAATTATATACCCCTGGCTATCAAGTAGAACCTAACGCTTCCACATAATTATTTAACCCCCTGGCTATCAAATAGACACTAACGATTCCACATAATTATATACCCCTGGCTATCAAATAGAACCTAACGATTCCACATAATTATTTCCCCCCCTGGCTATCAAATAGAACCTAACAATTCCACATAATTATATACCCCTGGCTATCAAATAGAACCTAACGATTCCACATAATTATATACCCCTGGCTATCAAATAGACCCTTACGATTCCACATAATTATATACCCCTAGCTATCAAATAGAACCTAACGATTCCACATAATTATTTACCCCCTGGCTATCAAATAGAACCTAACGATTCCACATAATTATATACCCCTGGCTATCAAATAGAACCTAACGATTCCACATAATTATATACCCCTGGCTATCAAATAGAACCTAACGATTCCACATAATTATATATCCCTGGCTATCAAATAGAACCTAACGATTCCACATAATTATATACCCTTGGCTATCAAATAGAACCTAACGATTCCACATAATTATATACCCCTGGCTATCAAATAGAACCTAACTATTCCACATAATTATATACCCCTGGCTATCAAATAGACCCTAACGATTTCACATAATTATATACCCCTAGCTATCAAATAGAACCTAAGGATTCCACATAATTATATACCCCTAGCTATCACATAGACCCTAACGATTCCACATAATTATATACCCCTAGCTATCAAATAGACCCTAACGATTCCACATAAATATATACCCCTGGCTATCAAATAGAACCTAACGATTCCACATAATTATATACCCCTGGCTATCAAAAAGAACCTAACGATTCCACATAATTATATACCCCTGGCTATCAAATAGACCCTAACGATTCCACATAAATATATACCCCTGGCTATCAAATAGAACCTAACGATTCCACATAGTTATATACCCCTGGCTATCAAAAAGAACCTAACGATTCCACATAATTATATACCCCTGGCTATCAAGTAGAACCTAACGATTCCACATAATTATTTACCCCCTGGCTATCAAATAGACACTAACGATTCCACATAATTATATACCCCTGGCTATAAAATAGAACCTAACGATTCCACATAATTATTTCCCCCCTGGCTATCAAATAGAACCTAACAATTCCACATAATTATATACCCCTGGCTATCAAATAGAACCTAACGATTCCACATAATTATATACCCCTGGCTATCAAATAGACCCTAACGATTCCACATAATTATATACCCCTAGCTATCAAATAGAACCTAACGATTCCACATAATTATTTACCCCCTGGCTATCAAATAGAACCTAACGATTCCACATAATTATATACCCCTGGCTATCAAATAGAACCTAACGATTGCACATAATTATATACCCCTGGCTATCAAATAGAACCTAACGATTCCACATAATTATATAGCCCTGGCTATCAAATAGAACCTAACGATTCCACATAATTATATACCCCTGGCTATCAAATAGACCCTAATGATTCCACATAATTATATACCCCTGGCTATCAAATAGAACCTAACGATTCCACATAATTATATACCCCTGGCAATCAAATAGAACCTAACAATTCCACATAATTATTTACCCCTGGCTATCAAATAGAACCTAACGATTCCACATAATTATATACCCCTGGCTATCAAACGTTTTGATTTGAGCGTTCCTGTTGAAGGTAAATCAAGAGAAGCGCTTCAGTCGCACGAAATTCATTTTTGAATTGATCAATCTTTTTATTCAAATTTCCTCTGTTATACAATACCCCTAAGTATCGTTGGAATCTTTAAGTAGACTCCGGAAGACCTATGTAAGTACAAACTGCATTCGTCCAGGGGAATTAATGGCATGTGTTAATGATAACAAAATCCAAAAAGTTACAAATAAAATTATGCTCCAATATTTCACTTTTTTGAAACATATTTGACTTACTAGTTACAAAATAAATCATGCTTAACAACTCAAGTCTAAATCACAACAGATCATTATATACAAACCACGTTGTTCAATGATTACTAGCACGTGCACGTGAATAATAGAAAAAAGTGATAGGTTTTTGGTTGTCTTACTAAATAAATATTTTTTAATTTCCATTTAGAGGTGTCTTCCCACGTCAGTGTTTCATGTTTTACAAATGTATAACCGGCGTCGAATTTGACTGAATTGACTCTTTATTCAACTCGATCGCCAGATACATTTGATATGCCACTACCATTCCGCAACACTTATAATCAATTTTGATGCGAATTCGTATAACCTAAATTTGTCGTTGTGAGGGTATTTTTCTTATTTATTTATCAACAACGTAACGTAAAGTCTTCAATTGTTTTTCTGTAGATCTGTCTTACGTTATCTTACTTTGTGAAGAACCACTCTGATTTCCGAAACAAATACACCGAAGATGATATAATCAAAATGCTTGACTTTTTGATCTACAACATATTTAATGATTTTGGTGCAATTGATATTTCAGTAGAAAGTCGTTATTCCAATGGAAACTAACTGTGCACCACTACTGGCCGACTTGTTTGTCAAACTTTCTCAAAGACAATAAAAAAAAACACCATAAAAAGTTCTTAAATTCCAATTTAAGATATTTCTCATATGGCGTATACATATCTCAATTGATACTTTGCGCTCGTGCTTGTTCACACCATACGGACTAAATAAGCAGTGTGTGATCCTTACACTCCAACAGGGTTACGAGGACGACGACGATATACATGTTAGTATTATGGTCGCCTTCATGACCTAGTGGCCCGAAACGATATCTATGTATCGGAACTCACAAGCGACATGTTTTCGAAGTCTTAGATCGTTAGATAATAGAATAGTTGTCTAATTTTACCGAGTGCGGCATGTTTCCGATTGTGACATTTTGATTGAGTGTGTATTCGCATGGCTTGAGTTGCATGCATAGCAGGAGACGCTTACCATGTCCATGTACCCGGTTTCGCTCCTTTTTGAGCTTTTGATTTTGTTATTTGAAAAGGGACTTTCCGTTTTGAATTGTCCTTGGAGTTCAGTATTTTTATTATTTTACTTTTTTTTTTTTTTTTTTTTGTAACTTATGCAATTCCCTCAGTTTTAATTTGTTGTCTTGATTTGTGTTCCTAACCAATATGCTAGATTATCACACTGGTGAACTACACTGTCGCGATAATTTATTGTCAGTTATATTGTTACTGTACTAAAAATATGTAATTGTAATAGCAAATGTACATAGTATATGAAAAAAAAAAAAATTGAAACATCTTTATAATTCTTTATCTTTTTTACAAGAAACAGGATAATAAATATCAAATGTTTACTAACATATCTTACTGTATTTAAAAGTAAGGGAACATTTTTCATTTATTTTTAATATAGCATGTAAAGTTCACTAATAATCAGCATCATCATTACTTAATTGGAGTTATATAGCTATTCTGTTCAAATATATAAAAAGCATTTATACGCAAACGGCTTCTTTGACCTTCGCCCAGAAATTATCAGTGTCTTGTGGATCATCAGGATACTCTATGTATGACTGATTCTGTATGAGTTCATAAATCACTAAGGGTATATCCTTTGACCTCACGTGCTTGTAAAGAACCAGGAATATAACATTCAATCCATTTCTTGAATGTATTCCTTCCATTCTGGCCATGTTAAATTCAAACATACAATAGTATGAGTCAAAGAATGATTTACTTATAATACAAATTGTTTTTCTACTTTTTTGAATAGCATTTATAATATTGTCAGTTATATCATCTCCAGGAACAAAGTCGCGATGATTGATACACAAACTAAGATTCTCTTCTTTCTCAAGTTTTTCAATAAAATCGGTCAACACAAATGATCTGTCGTCTTCTGAATAGGATATAAATGCATCGTAGGTGTACTCGATTACATCTGCGACGGCTTTGTATTTTTTGTATTTACTCTTAGCAGAGTAAAACATGTAACGTAGTTTCCATCTTTGCCTATATACTATTGCTCCTATAATGATACCGAGCATTATAATAAGCAAGGATGAAGCTTCAGCGAGAACATGGCTCGTGTTTATGCATTCCTTTTGTAAATGCGTCGTTGCATCATGCACTGTTCGATACTCTAATGACTCAGCAGATGTAGAGCATTTGTAGTGTTCAAATTGATGAAAATGAACCGGTCCATTTCTTATCCATAACAAAAACGATAAAGCAGAGCAACTGCACTGGAGGTCATTGTGACTCAGATCTACTGTAAGTTTCCTGTATTTTGATATTGTGTCTAAGTTCCTCATTGTTGCTTCAGGAAAAAGCATAATATAATTTCCAGACAGATTCAAAGACTCCAGACTTAGTGAGTATGACAAGTCGAATGAAATTTCCCGTAGCAAATTACCACTTAAATCGATATTCTGTAAATTAGGCTGTCCATGAAATATCGGATAATACAACTTGTAGATGGAGTTGTATGATAAATCTATATGTTCTATCCTACTTTCATTTGATTTCATATATCCGTTATTGGCAAAGTATTTTCCAAGTGTATTGTAACGTAATATAAGCTTCCTAACATTCGTTAGATTTAAACCGAAGTTTACAAATTTGCTGTATGAAAAATCAACTACTTTAAGTCTTGGTGATGGCGATGTTGGATATTTCGGGAAATCCCACTCATAGCGTCCGTTATGGGTTATATATAATTCCCGCAAAGGTGTATTGCGACAAACAAGGTTAACAATGTCCCACGGGAAAAGGGACATTGAATCACTTATCAAGGCATTGGTTAATATGAAGGTTTCAATAGTTCTTAATTGATTAACGAATTGGATAAATTCAATAAAGTTCAACTTAAAGATGCTATCATGTTCTACAGATAATAGATTAAGTTGCTTTAGTTTAGCAAAAGATCCTTCGCCTACTTCTATTTTAGCACATTTGACGAAAATTCTACGAAGCGAAGTCATAAATTCGAAAGTGCTGTTTAACATTTGCAGCACAAATGATTGTCCAATGTATAAGAAATGAAGATTAAGTAAATGTGAAAATCCCTCTCCAAAATGCTTCGCAGTCTTAGAAGAGGCATCGAGTTCTATTGTCTCAAGCATTAATAAATCTGCTATTGTTTCAGAGGGTAAGTTAAAACAACTACTGGTCAAATCGGTTTGATCAATGTTAAACTTTATACTAAGATGTGTAAGAGAAACGAGAGGTTTAAAAACGCCTTTTGGTAATGTAACCTCACTATAGTTCAATTTGTTATGGTCTAGATTCAGGTACAACAAACTTATTAGTCCGATAAAGGCTTGTGGCATCAAACTAGATATTTCATTAAACGAAAGATCTAAACCTATGAGCTTGTTTGATTGTAAGAATGTATTGGCTTGAATTTCGCTTATACTGTTGTGTTGAAGATTCAAACGGCTGATATTTTCAGGTAAAGCTGGAATATCTGTAATATTTTTCCCTGAACAGTCGACCTTTACATGCATTTGATAAACTATGCATGTACATCTTTCATCGAAATGGCACTGAACTGAATGTGTGCGATCAAAACAGTATATACCCTTTTGGAGAAAGAAAAGTATGACTGTTAAGAACAGATTACACCGATTACCCCTGTAAGATAAATACCAAATTTATAAATGAATTAAAAAAACTCACTCAAAATCACATTTTTTTAGTAAAAATATATTCGTATAAATTAAAGTCATATGGAACATTGGAATGATATTCTCGAAATTATAATCTTAGGGATATGTTTGAACCAATGCATGTATATCTATATATATAATAAGTACGTCTAAACAAGTGACAACTCTACGACAGATCCATCCATTGGATCACCAGTGAAGGTGATACACGGCTGAAAACACATATTATATTCTTATTACTATAAATATCAGCACAACTGTTAAATCTGCAAATTTGCTGAAGCAAATTTTCTTTCTTCCCTCGCCGGGATTCGAACTCACGCAATTGAGATATCGAGACAACACCGCCTGCACTGTGTCCATCGCTCTAGACCACTCGGCCACCTAGACTGAACTAAAAATTCAGCTTTCGATGGCCTAGTGTCACCTTTCCTCGTTGGAAAGGTAGGCCACTAGGAAAGGTAACACCATGCCACCGAAAGCTGAATTTTTAGTTCAGTTTAGGTGGCCGAGTATTTATATATTGGTATTAAATTAATAATAAAGATCCATTTTGTTACATCTTGTGATCCGTTTATTTGGCAGTCAGCAGGGTTTAAGAACACCCGTTGTTCGACCTGTTAGTCAAATGCGTTTTGCTTTAATATACAACACGTACTTTTTCACTTTTTTGGTCGTTTGGAAAATGTTGTTTGTGCTGTATTTAGACTTCTCTACCAAGAAATTTGTTTTGCATGCACACGTATAAAAATTGCGGTTTTTATCCAACGCCATCATAGGTTTGAACGTTGTTTTCAATTTAGACTTATTCATATATATATATATATATATAAAATATATATAGAAATACTAAACTAAGTCCTATATGGACGATTTATTACGAATCCATAACATATAATCGACAAAAAAAGAATCCATTTAGTGAAAAATTACCCTACTAATTAACTTTCGTGTTTTATTGCCGACGTTAACCTAGCCCGGCATCCTGGTCAAACTTCCTCTTCGCGTCAGTTCGGCCAGGCGTAATGCAATCCTCATGTCATTTTTCAGCGCTGAACAGACTGAATTACTGCGTATGTGCGTGTTTATAAACAATGAATATATCGATCGGATCGTTAATTAACTAGTGATTCACGGTGTAAATCAATAATGTATGGATTATAATTGCTATATTTTTCTGGAATTTGTATTGTTGAAGAATCTAATAATAGTTTTCAATTGATTCGTGGCAGTGTAAATATTCCCCGCCATGCGTCAAAAATGATGCAATCTCACGATTAATCATTCTGACATTCAAAAACGGATACATTTCGTTGTATTCCGCATGCCTCTACTGTCGAGCAGTGCGGCAGGATCCCAGGCTAACGTTAACCAAACGTGATCTTAATAAACAACCAACACAAACATAGAATCATGGAGCACGTGAAAATAAGTGAGATGAATGACATGCAATAGAGCGATATTTTTCTTTATTTCCCTTGCGTTTCTATTCGTTAATTACATTTTGTCATAACATTTGTTAAATAATTTAGTGAAATAATTTTTTTCTTTCAGAATCAAATGACGCTATCTAACTTCAATGTTTGTTTATGTTTTCTTCGAACATGATTTTTTCTTGCACTTGCACTGTGCGGTTGCCAAAGAACTAACGAGAGGTCTCGTGGTTAAGTTCACTGCATACGGAAAAGCTATCGGCAAATTTAGAGTACGGAAAGATAATAATTTAAAAGTAGCAGATATTGGAAGATTTTGATTTAAAGGAAACATGATGTTATTGTAAATGAGACGACCCGATATATCAATCATTGAACAAACAGACAAACAAGGATTCTACAAAAGGTGACTTTATGGTCTTTGATATTGAACAACACCAATACCGTTAGCTATAAAAGGCCTCTCAATCACATGTGACGCAGTTATAATTGTCAACCAATTGATGTTAGCGTCCGCAAATATTTCGAAGGAAATGACTTGAATTTTAGCTCTAATATCCCTTTGTTCATCATTATAATCATCATAGTAAATATAATTATTGGATATATTTTTAGTTTTGTACATTTTCGGAGCACCTGAACTCACTTCTTCTTTCTGTTTTGATTCATGATCATTCTTATTTTTAGTGTCGCAGAAAATTGTTTATCTTTTCGGTTCCATTCTTCCGGTCATTGTGTTGTCTGTTGCTGTTCGATTTATGGTTTCCGATTGATTCCATGCCATCTGCTCTCGCTGTTTGTAGTACGGTATCATGCATATATAATAATACATACTTACATAATCATTACTCAGAAATGTTAACCTCTTCCAATGTTTATTTATGTAATTTTTTGTAGTTGTAAATAAATGTGCTCGGTCGATAATGCTTATTTGTTGTATGTGATTTAAAACTACACTATAAGAACAAAAATACCTATACTTTCTCTACATCAATGTAAATCTTAAATTTCCGCGTTTTACAAAGCGTCTGTGCTTGAAATTCTTCCTGAGTGTGTACAATACAAATATATTTAGGTTTTCTTTGTGAATTTTTTCCGTGATCAATTTATTTAAACTGTTTAATAGATAACATTCAATTTCGTAACTTCTCTGGTAAAAAAACTCATTATATATACCAGGATTAAAATTTTGTTCGCCAGACGCTCGTTTCGTCTACAAAAGACCCAGCAATGACGCTCGAATCAAAAAAGTTAATAAGGCCAAATAAAGTACGAAGTTAAAGAGCATTGAGAGACCAAATTCCGAAATTTTTGGCCAAATATAGTTAAGGTAATCTTTTCTTGGGGTAGAAAATTATTATTCAAACGCTTTGAGTACAAACCCGTGGTAAAATATGAATATATTGTATGTCAGTTTATTTGGGCTGTTCCGATCATACTCCCACGTCATATGCTTTTTTATGAATGAGCTACCCAATGTCAATCGGTATAAATTACGTCATTGAACAATGACGTAAGAATATAAGCATTTTACGGGAAAATGCAGGGTTATGAAACTGAAAGTCATCAAAACAAGGAAACACAAACAAACGATAATAAAACTTGTTAAAAGTTAATTTTTTTACATACAAGTAAGATTCATCAAAACTTATCTAAATACGTTATTGTAAATAGTTTAAGCATGTCACTTGTTCAGTTTTTATCCGTTCTTTAACGTCAATATTAATAGTATGTCTAATTACTGGAACGGTTTTTGCCTTCACCTAGAGCGCTTTGATCCAAAAGAATTTCCGTATTTGTCCTATTAGAATGGAAATAATTCATGTGGGCTTGAATTTATACTCATTTTACCACGGGTTTGCACTTTATGGAGATATTTTACCCCTTGCTATCGCTCGTGGTAACATATTTAGCATAAAGGGCCAACCCGTGGTAAAATCAGTATAAGTCAAGCCCGTATGAATTATTTCTTAGGTAATTCGAAAAAAATTAACACCTACATGAACTTTTTATCTTTTTTTACAAGTTAGTGGTACAAGACTTGTACAATAGATAACGAACCTTTTTCTCGTCTATAGGATCAGCAGATGCAATAGGTAACACAGATCAAAAATCTTTTGAACACGATTACAAAATACATCGTATTGCAATGGCAATCAGAGACACAAACAAACGTTTGCAGTACACAATAGGAAAAACAAATGTGTTATTGGCAATCAGGAACACAGGTCCTATTGTATGGGCAATGTTGATAGCTGGTAACGTAATAGGATGTGAGTAAAAAGATTCCAAGGTATCAGAAAAAACCACACAAGTCTGACATCAATATTTTCAGGAGAAAAAAGACGAAAAAAAAAACAATTTCGACTGAAAACTTAAAACAGATCGTATAGAAGAGTAAGAAATTCCTCCGCCACTGGTTAATGATTGATTGGTGGTGTTTAACGCAACTTTCAGCACCTTTGGTTACATCTTTGTGTCTTGTTTTTATAAGCGGAAAAAATCGGAGTGCCACAGTGTCCGAAGAGCACCAACCACCTTCCGCGGGAAAAACTAACAATCCTGGTCAATTAAGATCAGAGTCAAACGTATTTACCGCATGCGGGGTTCGACACCACTGGTGGCCTACTTCTTGTTGTACATGACACATTGATATGAAATATGGTTAAGCAAAAAATGACGGCGTCTGTCAAACATTTGAAGAGATTATTTCACTTTTAACATTAAGAACCCTTAATAAATGAGCTTCCTTGTACAGCAACCCTCTATAAAGGAAATTTTAGGACACTCAGGCCCTGAAACAATGAAGGTTCCTCTAGAAATGACGACTGTTTTAATAAAAATAATCAAATGCAGCAAAAATATTGTCAGTAACAAATCAAGCATCTTGATTATGTTGGCTTCGGAATATGGATTGCAGGAATTAGTGGCATATTAGTATTGTTCTCTACTTAAACATGATGTGTTACTTTTGTGCCTATTCTGCAAAATAAAATTCAGGTTGATTAATTCTTTTGATCCGTCTTCAAAATACGTACACGGAATACAATATACATGGTTGGGAAGTCCAACAGTTTTATATTATTGTACAAGAAGAGGGACTTAGACTGTTTACAGTATATAAAGTCTCTAGATTTCTAATTCTTGTATAAAGAAGAACCAAAATACATCATAATATCTTCGATAAGGTAATTAAGAAAATATAAAGAAGGAAGCAATCCGAAGAATAAGACAACTTGTGGAGATTTAGAGCTTGCAATATTGTATAATAATGATAATTGTGGTCTATTAATGAATATGATCAAAATAGGATTTTTGTTAAATATAAATAAAATATGATTTTGAATGAATGACAATGAGACAGAAACTCAAAAAAACATCTATTCAAAGGTTAACATACAGTCTTCAACAATAGACAGGTAGCTATACAGATGTCCAAATATTTAATCGCCCCTTTTTTCAAACGGTTGGGATGAATAGTACATTAGAGTTTATTTGCATATAGCAAAGTCATAGAAATATCAAAAGA